AGTAGTCGTAGTAGTAAACGTTGAGACCCAATCTCCGGCAGAGGGCACCAGACTTCGTTCCGCCTCGAGCCTTCCTGAGTCCAACTCGAGCGTCGTCATGTGCAGCCTGTGTACTGCTGTTGTAGGCAAATCATTGCTAATCTGCTTTGTTCTCTTCTACACGGAGGTACGTGTAATTTCATTTCGGCCACCGCTGGGGCCCCGGATTGTACGACTTTGGTGTGGACCTGTGGCCGCAGCCAACTTGGGGCTGCGCTGAAAAAAAACTGCATGCATGCAAGCACGTATGTATGTGAATGCATGTAGGTGTGCATGCACGGGTGGGTGGATGCATAGATGGATGTATGGATGGATGGACGATTCTGTCGCTAACGTAACGTAGCGTAACGCAATGTACAACGTAATGTTACGTTAGTCATAACATGTATGTATCTAGTGCATGCCTATTTATGCATATGTCTATGTAATGTATGCACTTTGTATGTATGAACGTATGCATGTATGGATGACAACCTAAAAATTTACATATTTAATAGTATGTTTGTCTGACTGTACGCCTGTCTGAATGTATGGATGTATGCGTTTATGTATGCGTGCATGTGTGTATGTGCATGTGTGTCAACTTCGTAAAGGTATGTCTACTTTGCCTCTGTCACATGCACATGTACAGTATAGACTTGCGCAAGGACAATGGTATACAGTGGTCGAAACTAGATTGCCCTCACCTCGCGGCGCAGTTATTCACTCTCCCTCCGCTTCGGCATGGTCGTTCCCGTATAATAGTTGATTACACAGTTGCCGCAAACAATGCCTGTTCCTGCATTAAGATCCATGTTAAGAAACAAGGAAGACCGAAGCACGTGATACGAAGCAAAGGTGACTCCCGCCGGAGCTTTATCCCGCACCCAATTGCCAATGCAAGGGGAATATACGGATATGCATAGATAATGATACCGCATATATATATATATATATACACACTAATATATGGTCACACCCCCAACCCATGATCCACCCCAGCCTTCTAGCCATCTGTTCGTCGATATATATATATATATACATATATATATATGTGTATATATATATATATGCACACATACATATATATATACACATACATATACTATGCACTTGTGTATGCACGCATGTATGTATGCATGTATGTATGTACATATATATATATATATATTAATGTGTGTGTATGTATGTGTGTATGTCTGCAGGTTCGGAATGATCTATCTTGAAACTTGGAAGATGCCTGCACGTTGGGTGGTTTGCTGTACGTCTTGCCTGACCTGGTCGAGCGTAAGTGCTACAAACGTATTTATGTATGTAAGTATGTATGTATGTCTGTATGTGCATGTATATCTATATGTGTATGCATACGTACAGACAGATTGAAAATGTTGTAGAGAGTTGTGTATATACGAGATATGTAATGTACTCAACAGCCCAAGAGCCATCGAAATTTGGCCCTGAGGCTCCCACGGAGCGAGAGAGGATGTAAGCCTGGCTTTCCTTCACCTTGCTGGCTTCAGCTGTAGGCTGTAGAGAGTTTCGGAGTTTAGGGCCGTTTAGGGTTACTATAGGTGTTATAGGCTGCAGGGGTTCAGGATTTAGGGTTTCCGGACATCACAGTTCACAGGCTTCGGGGAATCGAGTTTAGGACTATGTGGGGCCAGGCTTTTAGCTTAGGTTTGCGCTTCGAGAAATTGCCCTTACAGGCTCAGGCTATAAAGTTTCGACTGTTTGCTGGTCCACGGTGAAGCTTTGCAGTCTTCGTAGTATCGTCGTAGGCTGTAGACACAGGGTACCGAACTATTCTATACGATGCTATACTACACATGTTACAATGAATGATATTATCTATGTCCGGGCCGCATTTTCAGGTGTTCCCAAGGAACTTACAATCAACGGAACCCACCGCACTTAGAGATGGGTAGGCAGATCGAACAGTTTGTGCATGTTTGTGCTCTGAGTGTGACCGAACCATCGCACCGTAAGAACATAGGCAGACCATGGGAACCGACAAGTCACATGCGCGCAGCGCTGCTTCACGGCGTGGTGCTCTTGCCCGCAGCCGCCAGAAGACAGTAGGCAGAGCCTGACATCATCTTCCTTTTCAGCACGGCTGCTATTTGTACCACTACTAGTATTTTCTACTACCTGTACCAGTACAACCCCGGCACTGCTTGAAGCACGGCTTCTTGGTAGCACGAGTCTCAGTGTTCATATTTACTATGATAGCGAAATATCACTTCTTCGGTCGCACCAGCGAGCACAGCACTGTACTTTTTTAGGTCCCGGCACGATACCCACGGAAGACTCCTCACCCACAACCGTCCAAAGCCGTAAACGACATCTACAACCCAAACCTGAGGGGCCGTGTGCCCACACAGTATATGACTGTATCTCGCTTGATGCGAAAGTACCTGTAGGAAGGTATAGGAGCCCTTTTTGACCCGGAAGCCCTACATGCTCAGGAATCGGGAAGCCACATGTACAAAGAAACCCTTGCAGATTTTAGTAGGGTTTAGTAGGGTGGCCTCCTTGAGCCATGGCTGATGCCGATGGCTCCAGCGAAGCTACCGAGAAGAGCTCGGACGACCTGCTGTCAAAACTGACCGCAGCTCCTCCCAAGTTACTCCGTATAACCCCTGAAGTCTGGGTGCGGTGTAACTTAAACCGCCTTCAGGGGTTATGTTTGTGTTTCGTCGGCTTTCACCACCTGTTATGACAGCAACACGGGGCCCCTAAACCCCTAAACCCTAAACCCCTAAACCCTGAACCCTGAACCCTGAACCCCAAACTCTAAACCCCTAAACCTTGGGCAGCTAACTTTCCCAAACTCGAGCAGCGGCTTCAGAAGGCTGGTTTCGGCCTGGGGCTCCGTCGCAGACTCTTCATCGAAGAATTAGCCACAGTAACGAGGGTTTAGGGTTTAGGAAACGAGTTTAGGGTTTTAGGGTTTTGGGAAAAAGGGTTCTGGGTTTGGGGTTTAGGGTTTTGGCTTCGGGCTTTTTCAACAGCACAAGCCTCACCCGCTCAAGCCGGCAGTCTCAGCTCTGAGTTGTCGCGAGCCTTTCGGAGTCGGCTTTGGAGGCCTCCTTCCGGGAGCCTGGCAGAGACTTGACACCTGAAAACCGAAACACTGCCCCCGTAAACCCCTGCAGTCATGAACGCACCTGTGTCGCCGGGAACATCGGAGTGTGACCGCTGAAACGCTTCCAGCCTTGTGATCTCAGGATTCCCAGAAGCACGAACTCGTGGGCCGTGCTCTGCAGCTACAAGATGCAGAGCCTTGACAGTGTTTAGGGTTTAGGGTCCATGGTTTTGGGTCCGGGTTCTAGAAAACTTCGGCGGGCACAGGCGTTATGAAATGGCTACTCGTCGGAACAATGATTTCGACCAGTGCCTGAGAGAGATGCGTGCATGCATGCGTACATACATGCATGCATACATACATACATATTTACTGTCAAGTCCTATGGCTGCCTATAAAGCATCAGAGTTAAGCTCAGCATCGTCGTCGTAGGTGTCTTAGATGGTGATAGATCAGGTTTACCCTGGACATTGAACGTTTAATCCGGTGAACTCTACTTCAAGTTTTGCCTGATGAGCGGTGTGAAGAGCACGTGCTCCTGCACCCACGGTCAGTGTCCGAGATTCATAGGACATAGGAGTTATTCCCACTACAAATGCGATTGCCAGAAGTTTGACTGCTTAGCTTTACAGGCCTAACCCAGTCAAGGCCCAAGATTACATTTCGACAATCAGGACCAATGGCGACAGCTTCTGGAGACAGCCGCAGGGTATCGGGCGGAACGTCGAGTGTCTTCGAATTTAGGCGGTGGTTTACTCGATACATGACGTGATCTCGGTGCTGATGCTTTAGGAATTCCCTCGTCTTTGATCCTCTTTGTAGGGTTGGCGAGCTCGCTGGGACAAACCCAAGATTTGCCCAGATTGAGTAGATGCAAGCTGAAGTTGAAGGCCTAGGGCCAGTACTCGTATACATCGATACTCGGCACCATTTTGCAAGCAGAATCCAGAAAAACCTGCTCTTGCTGCATGTCTGTAAGATTTTGGTGCGCATGGGCGTTCTTTACAAACGACGAATTTCGGAGTGTTCTTCTTTTCCTCCGCACGATGGATACTATGCACCTTGCTGTTGTTTGCAGGTGTCTCATGGTCGCCACTTGATAGATGCCCCAGAAGTATTATGACTCCTCTCTCTCGCAGGCTGCACAATACGAGCATGCTGCAGCAGACAATGTTTTATTCATGTTACCAATGCCAAACTCAAACAAACGCACGTGCGACCATGAACGAGAGCAACACAACACCCTTGGTGGTATGATGCGCATTGACAGTAGGCAGACCATCGGCGATCAGGATTGCAACGACCTTATGTTTTTCTCCTCTTTGTACTACCGCTACTACTGACTACTACTGCTGCTGCTGTTGCTGCTGCTGCTGCTGCTACTACTACTACTACTACTACTACTACTACTATTACTACTACTACCGCTACCACTACGACCACGGCTACCACTGCTACTCCTGCAACCACAACAACAACTAGTACTGCTACTGTGTGGTTTTGGCAGTTGATTTGGTTGTGCTTTGTGGAGCGACTACTTGCTGGGGCCGTAACTTGACAGCGCGGGATCTGCTGTCGGCCAAAGCATTACCTACCACGTTGAGTCTCCGGACACTGCCATGCAGAACCAGAAAAACTACTGCTACTGCTGCTGCTGCTACTACTACCACTACTCCTACTCCTCCTCTTCCTACTACCACTACTACTACTACTACTACTACTACTACGACGACTACTACTACTGGCAGTGATGGCTTCGACAAGACCAGCACGGCTGAAGATGTCGGTGATTATCGTGACTGCCACAAACAGACTAGCAGCTTTACTTGTAGGTAGCGTTCGTCTTACCTTCCGGTTTAGAACATACCTACGTTGAGGCACGATTTGCTTTCGAACTATGAATGGTGATGGATGCGAGCTTGAGCTGCCGCCAACCCAACATCTCGTGGCATGGATGCATTCAGGATTTCATGTTGCTGTTCAGGTTTATGGACATGCTCAAGGATGAAGTAAGCGCCCGGAGAACTTGCATGATTTCGACAGGCTCAGGTTGTTGCGTGGTTTTTGTTGAGGGGAGGGGGGCTGCGCCCTGCGACAGGGTGTAATGTTACGGCCGCAAAGCGCAGAGACCGTCGGGGGTGCCAGGTCAGGGTTGGCTTTTCTGCTCCACTATGCCATGTGGAGGTTTCCGAAAATAGGGGACCCTAATATAGTACCCTAAATAGTAGGACCCTTATTATAAGGACCCCAAAATAAGGTACCCCTTGTTTTCGGAAAGTCCCATGCATGTCCATGCTAGTGTGCCCGACAGACCATGGTGCCCAAGCGTCAGAATCCAGAAGAGAACTGTTCCAAAGCCGCGCGCCAAGGGTCCACGAAAGTCATACAACGAGAATAACAACAGAAGATTAAACAACAGTATTAATACGAACAACAATAAGAAAACAGTTCTACAAAAAATGGAACTAGTATGATGACAGATTCTAAGTGTAATAAAGACAACGACATTTTGTCTAGGACCCAGGTCCTGTCTTCAAAAAGACGTCCAGGTTCGAGTGCAGAGTTCCGCGACTCTCTGGGGCAAAGTCACCTGTACTGGGTTGAGGGTGAAGGCTTAGGGTTCAGGGTGTAGGGTTTGGCCGGGCGAGCTTCCATCAAGCCTGTGTAAAAGGTTTGTGACGCACTTCCCGAAATCCACACAGTTCCGAAATCCACGTCTCGGCTTGCAAAGTGGCAGCCACTCCAGTCAAGCCTGCGTGCACAGAGGCATCCGTCAAGTATCGGGTCCTGCAAGAATTGGAGCCATCTTTGCCACCTATCGAAGCTGGCACGAGGCATCGCTGGGTTCAGGGTTGTGCTATGTTTTGCTGCGTATGCTGGAGATTCCGAAGCCCTGGTTTCAGGGTTTTGAGGTCTGCTCTGGGCCTGTGGTGCCCGGCATTGAGAAGACCTTGGGGCAGTCAGAAGCGTGTGCTTGCAACATGACATCTTCAGTTCGTGCTCTTGACCAGGGCTCGCCTTCAATGCTGGGCACACCACAAGTGTCCGCTTCTTTCTCTCTGCCTGTGCTTGCTTGAAACAGCATCGCAGGCGGCAGGTGAAGCTGCTTCACGCACACGAGGTCCTCAGCGATGACCTGCAGCACGGCTCGGTTTGAGAGGGCTCCGGGTCATCCGGAGTTTTGCAGTTCCTATGCACGGCCTTGCCTAGCAAGCCTAGCCTAGCCATATCTTGGAAGAGGCTTTGACTTTGTTCTGGCTTGGAGAAGTTTCGGTAAAAGCTTCAAGGGAAAGGTTGTGACTTTCGGTGGCGCGATGACGGCTTGGCAAGTGGAAATGAATATCTGAGGCCCTGGTTGTTGTTCACTAGCTTATAGAATTACTCGCCGGGTTCGGGGTAGCAGATAGATTCCATCTCCAAAGACAGCCGGGATCAGACCAAAGGGGCCGGAACCGTGAGAAGCCCCAAAACAGGAAGACCAAGGCTTGCCGGATCCCTGAGGCGATTTCCATGTTCAACGATGTCGCAGTAGGTCAGGTCTGTCACAGCACGTTTCACCCCACCGGATATAGACAGCCGTGGATGGTTTCAATTTTTTGCAAAGTGCAACCTTGCCGGGTACTTGTGTGCCCCTTCTCCGACGAATGGCAAGTTGGCAGGGTGGGTGCATGGCCCGTTTCGGGAAAGCCTGAGAGTTGTTTAGGATTTACGAGATGGCGGGTTTCCGCGTTGGGGGGGGTGCTGAGTGGACACACTGCGAATCCACAGCAGGCGAGTGCCTTCAGACCTTCACGATCGCAGCAATGCAGTCCCAGGGACAACATATGACAGCTGTAGGTAAGGAACGGGAATGAGCCCTGCGCACCTTCGTCCCGAGATGTTTGGTGTCTTCAAGAAACCTACACCATTCTACGCCTCTTTGCAAACACTGGTTTGCAGAGTTTGGCATCTACGACGAGCGCACATGTGCGTGCGAGAGACCACGAACCTGTTTTGTTTGTATGCTATTGTTCGTGGATGGAAAAAGTCACAACAACGCCTGAGCGTGCCGTGTTGGTTTGTGCCTGCGCAAGCTTGCGTGCATTCTGTTGCAACAAAACCACACAAGATTTTGGACTCAATGGCCAGGCCCTCCCAGATTCCACGATTCTCCGTTCTTGTCATGTTGCTGTGCTTGCATTTTCTAGTTGAGCTACAAGGCGGTGTAGATTTGTGCCTGTGGCAACCTTTTGTAGGAATCTGCGAGTTGGCATCTGAAGTTTGAAACATATGCTCAGTGCATGCAGTTGCATTAGTTGTTCCTGTCACAGCAGCAGGACACAAATTTTATTGCTCACGATGCACAAGAATGCTGTCTTTTTTGCGTTGTCCGGCCACTCGCATTGCCTTCCCTCAGAATACTGCGATCCGTCTGTGAGCACACAGAACTTGCATGTGAACCTTGCAAAGCCTCTCGCTGTTAGCATGGTGCGCGAAAGTGTAGCTCCGCGGTCACGTCCTAAGGATTGTCGCGCTCGTGCCCGATGAGCTCACCGTGGTGTTTAGCACGATTGACATGCCAGCAGCTTTGTGAGAAATTGTGTTAGTCATGATTAAACTTAAGCTCTGAAGGGAAGAACCCCTTTAGGGTTTGTAAGACCTGTGGTGCGAGTTAAGACCGTGGTCGGTTAGCACCCTCGGCTGCTAGCTTCACTCCCCAAATCCAAATCCTGCTTCGTGAGAATAAGATCGCACAGTTTATTCACAAGGTGTAGACTCTTGAAGGGATGGGGCAGCAACTTGCAAAGAAGGCTCCCCGAGCTGCCATGTAACATGGCAGTTTGTTCCCAAATCTCTCAAATACGAAGCCCTCAAGCTGAAAGTGGGACCATGGAGCTATCGTAATCAAGCGAGAACCGCATACTGTTGACCAGATACTTGCAAACATGTGCGTTGAATTCAAAGCCATCATAACTAGCACCATCAACACTTTCGCTTCGTCATATCCATCACAGCTCCGACATGAACAAAATCATCATCACAACCTGTGTTTGTCTTTACTGCCAGCTTCAGTCCAAATCAACGACTTGGTATGTAGATCGTTCGCGTTTGCACCTGATTCCTCTCGCAGCCGAGATTCCTCGGGCGAGCGGCTCAAGCAGCTCCTACGAGCATCCGGGCGTCGCTTGGCGATCGTACTCGAGCCAATCAGGTCCATTCGCCCGGTGCATCACAAAACACAGCTGCTGCAGCAGCTGCAGCTGCTGCTACCGCCGCTGCTGCTGCTGCTCCTCTTGCAAGTACACAAACATCAACCACCACCAACAACTGCTGCTGCTGCTACTACTACGACTAACTATCACCACTACTACTACTACCACCACCACTACAACTGCCACTACCACTACCACTACTAGTACCACTCCCACTACCACTACTACTACCAC